TAGTTTCGGCAGACGTATTTGCTTTTATTATTTTAAATAAAATGAGAAGGAGAAGGTGGATTTTGTGGAGTAGGAAATGGTTGCTCAGGAGGAATACCGGCAGCGATCTGGCTCATCTTGTCCTTCAAGAGCTGCGATATGAAGATGAAAATGGATTTCAAAGTTTCGCCAGGATGTCGATACCAACTTTAGACAAGCTAGTGGGAAAAGTTCTCACTAGATCTACATGATTCCTTGAATTCTGAAAATTTCTGTTAACAACGCAATTCTGCAAGGTCTTCAAATCTTTTGACGTCCCTGAAGTTTTTTTTCTGTTCTCCGGTAAAATTTCTTTAAAGATCAACAATCTTTCCTGATGATCTGCAAATTTCTCGGTAGTTCTACAGATTTCTTTGAAGTTCTGTGTGTTTTTCAGAAGTTCTGCAAATTTTGCTAAGAATCTACAAAGTTTCTGAATCCCTGAAGATTTAAGATCCTTGAAGATCGACAATTATCTCTGATGTTCACAAAATTTCTAATAATCTACAAACTTCTCGAAAGTTCCGCAATTTTTTCTGCAGATTTTCATGATTCAATGAATATCTGCAAATATCTCTGAACATCTATACAATTTCCTAAAGAATTAAAAGATTATCTAGAAATTTTTGAGCTTTTCGGAAGTTTTAGGAAGTATTCTGAAGTTTTTCTAATTTTTCTCAAGCTGTGCAAATATCTCTTAAAATCAGCGAACATACCTGAAGTTCTGTGAATGTCTCTCAAAATCCAAGAACCGCAGTAAAATTCTGAAAATTTATTTAAACATCTGCTAATTTTTGAGTAGATTTACGATCTACCCTCTGAACTTTTCTGAAGTTCCTAAAATTTATTTCAAATTCTGTAATGTTTTCTAAAGTACTGTATTTCTGCTCTAAAGATCTACGAACTGCCCTGAAGTTCAATAAATTTCACAGTAGATCTCCGAACTTTTCTAAAGTTCTTTAAATTTCTTTGTGGATTCTTGATCTAAAGATCGGCGAACTTTCCCGAAGATCTGTTAGTTTTTCTGAAGTTTTACAAATTTTTCTAAAAACGTACGAACTTTCTGACGTTCTACAGAGTTCTTTTAAGGTCTACGGACTTCTCTGAAGTTCTTTAGATCTATCTATTTCCGACTTCCATGGAGTTCTGCAAAATATTGTACTTTTGTACTTCGCTGCGATTTGTTTTTGGAATTGAGGTGCTTTTCTGACATTTAACGAATTTTTCTGAAGATCTCACAATTTGTGTGAAACTTTCTGTCAAATTCCTGCAAATATCTTTAAAGTTCTGTAAAGTTGTATTAAGCTCCGTAGCTCTATTCCCAAAATCTACATAAAAAAAACTTGAGGCTCAATAAATTTCTCAGTAGATCTGCAAACTTCTCTGATGTTTTGTAAATTCCTCTCGGGTTACCCTGAAGATTTGAAAATTTCCTTGAAGATTACCTAAAGTTGTCAAAATTTATCTGAAAATATTTGAGCTTCCTTGAAGTTTTAAATGTCTCTTTCAGAATCTACAAATTTTCCTGAAATCGTGTAAATATTTTTTTTTTTAAATTGCTTCCCTGAAGTTACCTGAAGTTCTGCAATTTTTACTGAAGATCCAATAACATTTCTGAGTAATTTTTTTCAAAGTTCTGTAGCTTTGTTCTGAAGATCTACGAACTTTTCTGATGTTGAATAATGTTTCGAGGATCTCCAAACTTATGTGAAATACTTTATATTTCACTGTAGATTCTTGGACTTGTCTCAAGTTATGCGAATTTCCCTGAAGATTTGCAAAATTTACAAATTGATTTGAAATTATTTTTGCTTGCTTGAAGTTTTGAAAATTTCTTTGAAAATTGATCTGAAGATCTACGACCTCTCTTGTGATTTTGTTTTTATGAATTTCTATTAATTACTTTTAATGTTTTTGTAGTTCTGTTCTCAAGATCTACGAACTACCCTGAAACTCAACACATTTCTCAGTAGATCTCCGACCCTCTCTGAAGCTCAAAAAAAAATTCTATGTAGGCTCTCAGACCTGCTGTCTGGCATGCTTATTCTTATACAATACATGCTTCGTATGCTTCTTTTTGACGGTTGCCAGTCTCTCTTCTTCGACTGTTTCCTTTTTACGACGATTTTGATCCTCCACATACAAATCAGCGAAGAGCGAGCGTGACAAGACTCTTTTAATGAACTTGTCTCGTTCGCACACGTTGTCTTAGCTGTCAGATGCTCGTCAAGTTCAGTGCCCTTAAGAAACGTTTCGACAAACTGAACGAAAAACTTCTTTTGAATTACGAATGAAGTGATAATTGGAAAATTCCCATAGTGGAACCAAAATTCCCTGAATATTCCAGGTTTTTCCAGAAAAAGTAAAATTCCCTGTAAATTCCCGGTTTTCCAGGTTTTTCCAGGTAGTAGACACCCTGTATAATAAAGAAGTGGCTATTTCCTTTATCGAATGTTTAATAAAGAAAGAAATAATCTCATCTCCGAAAATATAATAGAGAAGATAATACACTCGGGTCTTTTTTAGCACGGGGGATACGTACCGTGTAAAATAATCTACGAGATTTTGATTTTTCACATGTTCAAATGTTTTAAAAAAAAATCGGATTTTGATGCCATTTGTAATTATAGCATTCTATGATCCATATAAACATATTTTAAAAATTTCAGTATTTACACCAAAAATTTTGATTTTTTTTTCAATTATGCCGTTGTCGAGAAATCGTTAAAAACGTACCGTGTAAATCGCGAAAAACCGTGTAAAAAAACCGCGTAAAAAACCCGTGTAAATAAAGACTTCAGTGTACTCTCTTCTTTAAATATGTCATTCTACGAATATTGACTAAAGAAGTGAATACTTGATATTTAATATAATTAGGAAAATCAATAGCTTTTCGAAATGGTCATTGGATTCTGGGTAATGGTCATTAGGGGTAGCGGCGTTCGGTGTAGTGACATTCGGGGAAACGGAGTTTCCAGGAAATTCTACATTCCGGGAAATAATGGCATTCTGGGAAACGGATTTCCGGGAAATATCATCATGATGGCCATATTTGGACTTTGCAAGAATTCACCCAAACGCGAGTAAAAGGTAATTATGCAGTTAATCTTTTATTCTAGAATGCTATTCTATGTAAGATTGCAAAGTTCTCACTAAAACACTTTAACCAAATATTGTTGGTTTGTTCAAGCTGCTGGAACTTGTTCGGAATAAGATATACAAACTATGGAAGTCGCTCCGAGTTGGCTCAGTGATGATCACCGATGCATGTGATTCGAGTTATAGCTTAAATCGGTTGAATGAACTCCAAAACAAAACGAGCTGGAAAGCGCCTGTGATCTGTTACAAGCTATTATGAACAGAGCGTTTGATGTGTGTCACAATTATTAAACTTTGACGAGTATCATAAACTAAAAAAAAAATAACAAAGATTGACCTGCTTTCATCTTGTGTCCGTAGAAAAAAAAAGATATGACCACCATCCATACACAGGATGGATAGTGATTGTTGGTATACCATGCCAACCAGTATCATCAATACACAATATACTCCTGCGTGAGCACGCGAGCAACAGAGAGTGGCGCTGAGAGAGCGCACGAGGGGCTCCCTTTCTGTTCTGCTACTGCGTTGTGTGTTTCACCATCCAGTCTCACACATTCTCCCAATCTCCCAATCTCTCCAAAGGTCTTTCTCTTTCATTCATAAAATTTTGCAGATCATTAATATTTTTAGTATGGCCTTGCTCATGACCAACCAACATGAATGCGACGATTGATACATCCGTGCAAGGCCATATTAATTGTGTTTGGACTAGTTCAGAACGTGAGCAATGTTCGCCGAATTGGTTGACGATCTTTTGATAACTTTATCAGATTTTGACCGTAGGAAGGAAAAATTATTCTCTCAGGATTCGTATTCTCTCAGTGAACCTGTGAGAGTAGCAAGCATCCTTTTTTGCTACGTGCGACTTGTCCTACTGCTGCTAGCTCATATAGGTATACGATAGCCCAACTAGAACCAGACCGTCACGACTGAACTTTCGAATCTGGGACTAGCCAGCATGGAAAAGTTCATAGCATTTTGCGGACGATCAAAATATCGAATTTAAAAATAAATCCATGTTTACAGCGCTACTTGAGCTATAGAACCATAAATATAAACGTTTCTCGCGAAGAAAGAAGAAAAATACACACATACACACATAAATGGGCAGAAGCAGAGAAAGAGAGCGCGACTTCGTCCCACATTGCGAGAGAACTGGAGTAAGCGAGAAAACAGAATCATAAAAGTGGCACTAAAGACAGAAGCTCTAATTTTCTCAATGAAATCCCATAGTTCTTATTTTTTTCATTCATAAAAAACTCAGATGTCACCACTTACGTATAGGTCGAGCGCGAGCTCATACTCGTCCGCTCACTGGTGAACAGGTGCTAGGGTAGGCAGCGAACTGGTGGATAAGCTGCCATTCATATATTTAATTAGTAATACACTGACAGGGGGAAGACTCCTCAACTGTCTAAGGTATTACTTATTCGTTCGTTATTGTATAACTGTGAGAAAATCAATAGCCTTTTGAATGCCTCGTCAAAGTAATTAACCAAGTAATAATAGTAATTGTTTGTGTTGCGCCTGTTATTTTTCCATTAACTTTCTTGCTATTCGTTTTTTGGTTTTGATTTCACTTATTGGATAATCAACTGAAGAACTCCAGTGTATTTATGCTGTGTTCAAGCTGATGAGAAATATTCCATCGTCGTTCTGTCAAACTTTCAGTGAGCAGATTTGCTAGCAAACATATACAGCACCTACGATATCCTTTTGGTGTGTAAGGCTTCCAAAAGCCTCAGCTCATCCAAGTACCATTGAGAGATGAGTAAGAGCCATACATGTAGGAGAGCATGAGCAACAACGGACGAAAAAAAAAACTTCCAATTCGATTTTCCCTAGGACCACATCCCGTCTAAGCGATCATAATCACTAACATTTCTTTGGAGCTTCCGCTCGATTCACTGGTTCGTGCACTGATTCCATTATTGATACCATCCAGCTTAGCCACTCTTTTCGCCTTTTCGATTAGCTCGAAGGCTTTTCCTGCTTCACAACACTTTGGAACTTGACAATTTTCACTTTCCTTCGAACCTCACCGAAGGCACACACAATTGATTTACTTGCACTCTTTTTATTTTTCCCTCATCTCACTGCTCACCCTCACTTATAGCTCCGTTTGCCTTCACTGTTTGCTCCACCTTCCGCACACCCTCCTCCAAAGCGACCTCATCATCACACTCAACTCACGGAATCCCACAAGGAGGATCAGGAAAATTTTTCCCCAAGACTTTTCTAACCGAGCGTTTAGCTATTTCCAAACTTTCCCAACACTACACTTACTCTTCATATGCCTCGGTCATGATTTGATATCTCAAATATACTAATATTTTGCGGTAGTAACACTGTTTTCACCATTTTTGTATCTGTACATGGGCCAAAGCGAAAATTTTCGTGTGAGAGACGATTAGTGGTAAGGTTTTTTTCCTTCTCTTCTTGCTGTGCTGCTGCTTTTTCTGCTACTACACTGACTCTTGTGCTAGCTTGCTTGCTTGATGCTTCATACACTCCTCTTCGCATGTTCTCTCTCTGTTGGTGCTTGTTGGGTGCCCACACTCTCTCTCTCACTTCATCTCGCGCTCCATTCTTTCCTATACAGATTGCTGCTTGTGATGATGGGCAGCTTCATCCCCAGAGAGGTTAATCACTCTCTCACGTTTCTGTTGTCTAAATGCCAGAAGTTGCGTCATTTGATGAACGTTTCATTGTACTGTCATTTGATGGCCATTGTGGAGTTTATTGAAAGAATACAGACCGCTCATATTGTCTTGCCATCACTTTTGTATTGTATCATTCGGTGGATTTGATACACCACGCGGCATTTTGGTTTTCTTTTACCAAGGGCCTTTGCCTTGGCCTTTGGTTTGTTTACTCTGAAATCAGTTGCTTCTCAACTAACAATTTATAGTCACAAATAAGCATATACCTATACCTATATTTAATAAATGCTGCATTACAGTGTACAATGATGAATAAAACGGGTTGTCGAATTATGTGCTGGAAAAGCTCATTGAGAGCGATAGATGCAACTTTATCCCGCTGTTTCCTCTGATCTGATATTTTTTTTTTAATAAAAGCTTTACAAACGATGACTGTCTTGTCTTCCTAATTCAACACCAGAAGTTTTATCTAATAACAAACTGAATAAGTGTAATTTTCACATACATTGACGGTTCAATTGAACTGTTTTGAATTGATTTGATAACATCAGGGTGTCCATTCAAATTCCATTTTTCAATTCCCGGTTATTAAAAAACTCTGCCTTTAGCAAATAAGGCGTTCAAAAATATTGATTTGATAACATCAGGGTGTCCATTCAAATTCCATTTTTCAATTCCCGGTTATTAAAAAACTCTGCCTTTAGCAAATAAGGCGTTCAAAAATAACGCTTTAGAGATAATGATAAAATTTTGTCAGCAGAATTCCTCTACAATATGCAGGGCTGGTAATGGGTATTTTATACAATAGTATTGCCTACAATAACGAAAAAAGTGACTAAATAGTGACTTTAAAACAATAAAAAAGTGACCAATATTGATCGGAAAGATATTAATTGTCGTTGAATGCGATCCGCCTTAACAAATATTATAAATTCCCAAACCACAATGAGCATGTTACAAGTTTTTTTTTTAAATAAAACAAATAGTCGAAGGATCTTATAAATTTGTTTTCGTGAAATCAGTATTAATTGGATAATCAATAGGTTAACTTGTAACCTCCATTTCCTCACACAATACTCATTTTTCTGCCACGATTTTTTGGAAACCAACCGTTGAATAAGTTGAATTTAGATTCAGATCTCTTTAAATAGGAAAAATTTTAAGCGCAGAGAAAAATGATCAACGTCTTGGACAAATTCGTCAATTTTAAGCCAAGCAATTTTAAAGATCTCGAATATAGAAACTTCTGTAAAACTTCATATCTCTGGAACCTAGACAAGCGTTCTGGATCGTATCGATAATTATCATTATTCTGGAACGAGGAAGATTTTCTCGAAAAATCTCGATCTTCAAAAAAGTTGTAAGATTCTGGTATACATTTTAGAGATATTGGACATTTTTTTGTTTAATGCTGGTACTTAGTAATTCACGATTTTTTTTTATTATAGTCACTTTAACACTCTTGGGTCATTCGTGACTTGTCCGGGGGTGAGATTTGAACTCGTGACTTTGGCGTGAGAGGTATGGATGTTAACCACTACTCCGGGGTCGCCCCCAGTAATTCACGATCCTTAATTCAAACAAATTAAGAAAGCATAGAATAATTTACGATTTGTTAGAATGTAAGTTCACAGTCCGAGAAAAACGAAAGTTTCTAAAATATAGAAAATATTTCATGATTTTAAACATAGAATTTATCTAAAATCTGGGATTGGAAATTTGTTGATTCCAGACTTGTAGAAAAAAACAATTTGATGGGCTTGGAAAAGAACTGCCGATACTAATGCTTCCGGCCTTCAAATATTTATCGAAATTCAGGTTTTTGAAAACATCTCTAGCGCTTGGAAAGTTTCCTAGACCATTTTTTAACATATAAGACTAGGAAAACTTTTAAGATGACGAAGAGATATCGAAACCAGAGTTTATTTTTTTAGAAACCTCAAGAAAATGTAATATGTAGTAAGGTCAAAATGTGTTATTCTAAATTGGGGATTGGAATTGAGAAGAGGAATGCAAGGAAATTCCAATGATAATATTTGAAATAATCTTAAAAGAATCTTTACAGGATTCCAAGAGGATGATTTGAGAATGCTTAGCAAAATTTCAAAGAAATTGTTTTTTTTTTATTTATAGTAATTTTCACACTCTCGGATCATTTTTGCTTTATCCGGGAGAGATTTGAACTCATGATTTTGGAGTGAGAAGTATGGATTCAGATCTTTATGTTTTACAGACTAAACTCAGTATTCAAAGATGTCCACAAAGTGCAGAAATTAATGATTAATTTATCTCTACGTCCGGTGTGGAACATTTGCATGCCAAGCATGATCGGAGTTTGAGACGGCATGAATCTGCTTCTCTATCTTGAAGTAGCTTCGTAACAGGATATGTCTCGCTTAGCCTTTAAACTAAAACTACTTCACTCGGAAAACTGTAGCAAAATAATTGAAGCAATGACACCATATTTTTTTTTTTTCCTTTGGTTTGTTTTTTCCGTCGATCTTGTTTTCCGTGCTGAGCACCAATGCTACCGACGTGCCAGGAAGGCAGCTCCCACACCTGGACCCTACCTATCGACCCATCAACTCATGAACCGGGGACCAACGGCTTTACTTCCCATCCGAAGGAAGGCGTGATCAGAGATGTTATGCCTCAGAACATCCCGGCGGCGCCGACTGGGATTGAACCCAGGTCTGCTGGGGTGAAAGGTAATCACGCTTACCACTACACCACCGGCGCCGTTAATGACACCATATGAAATTCTATAAATTTAGCTATCGTAGTAGGAACAACGACAAAATCACCGCTTGATCCGGGCGCGAACAGATTGCGAGTAAGAGAAAAGAATAATATGAAAGTTGTAAGCAAGAGAATATAATGATGTATGTATGTGCTATAAAGTTGATTGATTCCAAGTAACATTTTAAGAGATAGTTTTTTTATGATCTTCACAAGGAAGATTGGAAGACCGTAACTATGGATGACCACAACTCAAGTGCTTGAGTTCCAGATTCAAAATTTGGTCGAAACCTGGGGCCTTCTTGTTTTTAGATGATTTGATATAGGCCAACAGTTCGTCAGCCGTAATTTCGGATTCCGCAGGAACATTGTTGAGAATTTGATGGAGGTGGGCTGCATTTTCAGCAACCGCAGTATCGTATGGACTTGCCATGTTTAGTGCGAGATTATGTGAGCTGACGAAGTGCTGACCTATAGCATCAGCATTCTCTTCAGGGGTTATCAGATGGACGACTGAATCATTGGGTTGGTTCAACGGCACAAGTGGTGGAATGGGCCTTGGCTTATGTTTAAGGATTTTTGTTAGTTTCCAAAAGGGCTTTGCACAATCGTGGAGAGAACGGATCTTATTGGCAAAATTGTTATTTCTGAGATCCACCATCCTCAATGATCTTTGTTAATCGATTACAATTGGTCTTCAAGTTAAGCAGATCAGAACGCTGGTACTGCCTACGAATGGTGTTACGGAGTCTAATGAGATCTTTGGTAGGGCTGGCAAGGTTCAGAGTGTTACTCATCAGTCTGGATACGGGCACGTGTTGTTCCCTGCCTCCTCGATAGATTGCAGAGACCAATAAACGTCTTCGGACGTCTCCGGTTCGACATCGTATCGTAGTCGATGGTTGTGTCGACGCAGTATTGATATAAATCCCAGTTGACACGATGGTAGCTGCGCCGGGAAGCTTCGAATCGGTTCACCGAGGAACCAACTTAGTGGTCCGAGCTGAGTTCTTGAGTTCGAAGTCAGTTCCTTATCTTAAATATATATTGTTGAGTAAGTGCTTCAACCACGGCTACATGAAACCACAACAACGCACACTATCATGGTAAATGGTATCCCCAAATGCCACAACAGAAGCACACCATATCAGGAACCACACAGCCTACAGCCATGATCGAAACATTCACTCTATTTCAAAATGAAATAAGATTATTTATGATATCAACGGCGATCATAGGTATTTTTGGTAATTCATCCAATAATAATTAATGAATAAATAACTTTGAAAGTATGTCATACAATTGAAAAGTGTAATTTTTGTCGTTTCCCTTAATTGAGTAAAGTATGTAAGATTGTTTTTTTTTTCAATAGGACGTTGACTCTACTCACTGAAAATATGTTTTTCATAAGCTAATTATTGGCTAAATGATTTGAGGTGTACAAAGCTTATTAACACCCGGATGAATATATAATTGATTAGTAGTGCATAAAGCGCATTGTATCCCCATAATTCAACCTCAATAAGTTAGCTAAACTAGACTGAACAAGACTCATTTAAGTTTAACTCTACTTCGCAAATCAGCAAAGCGCTACAAATACGTTGATAGCTTGATATAAGAATAGGAATCTATTATACAATATTTTTAAATGTCGTCAATGTCACGTGTTGGATTTCCAGCATTTTAGTTCTTCTGAATTCTAATCCCAAACAGCGTCAGCGGTAGAGACAAATAAGAAGAGCTTTTTAGGTATAGCTCCAAGTAGAAGTGGACTGCGACGACGTCGGAAGTATTAACATTTCT